AACAACGTTGTTTGTCTACAAAACATAGGAATGCACAAACACTAGACAAACAACATTAGTAATAAATTGTTTGTTAAACATCATCAAAACAAGAAGGCCAACAATCTCCCCCTTTTTGATGATGACAAACAATTTACAAAAAGGAATATATGCATGAAGGAAATGAACATATACAAGATAATACACATGCATATAAATGTATACTCACAATATTTCTCCCCCTTTGACAACATCAAAAAGGGGACAAAAGGATTAAGAGAGCGAAAGCTCCCCCTATCAATAAGCATAGGTGAGTATCAAACAAGTATAGGGATTGCTCCCCCTATCAAAAAGCCATATAGAATATATGCGATGAAGATCATGGCAAAACATATGTGAGCAAGCATACATGAATATGCTAAAAATTTACTCACATACATGAAGATAATGAGAACACATATAAATATGTCAATATGAAAATAGTGTCTCATTAACACAAAAAATATAAAAACCATATAAAAGAATAGATTTATGAAATCAAAAGAAGAGGAACATGAGAATCATGCAAAAAGTTTTCAAATGAAAACAATTCAACCAAAAGAAATCATAAATCAAAGTTTATATTCAAAAACAATGTTTGATCAATAAAGAAAAATTTTCTTTACATAACTTGATCAAACCACTCATAGAATACATTATAAAGCACGAATAGATGATCCATTAGCACAAACACATAAATATCATCATATAAGTGAATTATAATGAATTCAAAAGCAATAAATCAAAACACAATTTTTAAGAGAGGCAACAATTGAAGCCTCTCATCAAAACAAAACAAATAATCATGAAAACAAAAGATTTTATCAATTATAAATTTATTTTCATAATCAAAATATTTTAAGACATAATTTTAAAACCAAGAAAGGAAAAAGTAAGAACACCAAAATTCTTGGTTTAAAGTTTAAATTTGTTTTGGTATCCAAGAACTCTTGGTACCAAAAGATTTAGGGACATGACCCCTATCATTTAAGCTCAAAGCCTTAGGGTTATGAACCCTCTTAGGCATATATGGTGCACTAACATGGTCAAAACAATATTCATTCAAATGACCCTTCCGATTGCAATTTGTGCAATGAAAGAGATCCATTTGTTTTTGTGGACCATTAGCTCGTGCACGGGAATCATTTGCAAATAAAGATTTTCTTTTAAAATTATTTTGCAAATGAGAAACATTCTTAAACAATGGTTTATTTAGAACATATTGCAATTTAGAAGCTTTTTGTATATCAAAACAAAATTTAGCAAGATGTCCAAACTTACCACAAACATCACATTTAAAAACATGTGGTCTATTGGAAGCATTTGTCAAATGAGATTTTCTTTTCAAATCAAAGCAATATTTGGCCAAATGACCAAAACGACCACAATAATCACACTTGAACACACTAGCATGCTTATGATGAACTTTGTGAGAATGAGCATGTGAATGTGTAAGTGTACAAGATGAAGAAGCTATATGAGATGCACAAGGAACATTAGGATTCTTATGTTTGTATGCATCATAACAAAACTTAGCTAAATGACCTTGACGGCCGCAAATAGAACAATTATAAGTTTTGCTATACATGTGTGCATAATGAGTGGATGATTTTGATTTAGTCTTAGCACACATATCCATAAGCCTCTTATGATTATTAATGCATATTTTCAAAGTTGAATCTAAAGATGAAATACTATTTTTCATAAGATTCAAATCTTTATTTTTAGGCACATATGCATTTTTAGAAGTAGAACATAAATAGTCATTTATAAATGAAGCAGTGTTATTTTTTATGTTCTCTACTTCTAACATGGCATCAATCTTAGCATGAGATAAGCTAGAAATGGATGATGATAATTTCTCATTTTCCAATTTTAACATATCATTACTTTCTTTAAGAGCAACATTTTCTTTGGAAATGATATCAAAATTGGAAGCTAGCTTCTCATGATCGGATATAAGTTCTACATGCTTGCTTTGTAAATTAATGAAATCATTTTGCAATTTGTTATAGGCATGCAATAATTTTTCACTAGCACAAGCAAGTTCATCACTAGATAAATCATTATCGGGTTCGAACTCGCAAACCTCACTAGGGCTATCGCCTAGTGGCCGTGTGCATGTTGCTCCGTATGAACTTAAAGTTAGATCCTCCAAAGCTTGTTGGATCGCCTCCAAGTCCCCTTGATGTGCTTCTATAAATTTTTAAACTTTGTAAGCACTATCAAAATGAACAAACTTGTTAGACATAGATGAATTAAAAACATTTAGCAAATATTCTAACAAAATATTGTTCATAGTAAACATACGATGATTATTTTTATTCCATTTGGATTTCTCCAAAGTGGGCACAATATAAGCATCATCTATAATTTCTCATAACTCAAAGTGTTTAGATTGAACAAAAAGTTTAAATCTAACACACCATTGGGCATAGGGGAAATTATCTAATCTAGGAGCAATATTAATGGCATAACCTAAACCATGCATATCCATAATATAAAAAGGCAAGCAAATGCAAATATAATCAAAACAAGATTAGCACAATAAGATAACTTAGATATTTAACTCAAGGCGATTAGACCTTAAATCAAAGAGCACCAAGCGGGGGCGTGATTAGGGTCTTATGCTAATCTAATCCGATTAAATGCCAATTAAAATTAATTAATAAGTTATCCTAGCAAGTATGAAATATAACAATATTTGTAAGCTAGGATAAGCAATATGAACAACAATATATATCCTAATAATGAGATATAGGCAATGTATGTGCAAGGATATATAAACAACACAAGGGTAGATAATCTAAACAAGATAGTGGATGATATAGTAATGAGCAATGCACAATGGCGATATAAGATATGAACATAAATATAAATGAACGCCAAAGCACACTCAAACACAATCAAGTGATCACGGAGTTCGGACCTTCCGTCCTACGTCTCCGCTCCCCACTCCCGGGGAGAAATCCACTATCAACCGGGTTTTTTACGTTCACCCGAACAACGTTTACACCTCACACTCGGTTTTCTAGCTAACCGAAAACTTTACAATCAACACACTATTGTAATCCCACTCTACACCCACTAAGTGTTGGACCTAGCCGTGTCTCCCTCAAGTGCTCGGTTACAACCTCTCCCTAGGCACGTCAACCGACGCCACTCCTCTTGGATTCGACCCCGTCTCTCACCACACACTTCTCTCGGTGTACAAGTGTATTACAACGACCGTACCGGTCGACCGAAAACTGACACTCAAAAATCTGATTTTAAAATGCTGTTTAAAAATATCAAATAAATTCCAAAAAATGTAAAACTTTGGGGAATGATTGTAGACATGATAATAAACATGCTACAACGACTGGTTTCGAAAAAGGACTTCCCAAATGAAAAATATCATCATTTTACAAAATAGTCCAAAACATGAAAACTGAGATACTTGAATTTTGATGTTTTGACATAAACCAACTTTTAAAACTTTGTGAAATGTTTTTTTATAGACTTAGTAAAACATGTATAAACTGATATTGAAGTCTACAAACAATATTTTCACAAATAAAATAGAAAATGAAACCTATGAGTATGTATATGAAAATATATTTGTTTCATATCTATGTAGATAAACCAAATCACAATAATGAATATGAAACATGTAATTTCATATTTATAAATATGAAAACCAAAACTTGTGTTGTATATATATGTGATTACATATATATACAAGGAAACTAATAAAATGTGTGTGTATAGATAATTGAGCTTAGAGTACTTAACACACATAATATAAATCCTAAACTACATTACCCAAGCAATCTTGATCTTCAATTAAGCTTGACTTGGTACACGTTACGGATGAAGCTTGAACTTGATCTTTAACTATGAATTGCAAGGCTTCACCGACATTCCGCCAACCTCCATTTGATATGATCGTTAAGGCGCAATCCATCCATCCTCCAACTACGTTGTTTGTCTACAATACATAGGAAAACACAAATACTAGACAAACAACATTAGTGATAAATTGTTTGTTAAACATCATCAAAACAAGAAGGCCAACACTAGCTTATCGACCAAGTTAATAAGACACAAGCTCTTAGATAAGACACTTTTTTTGGTTGCCAAACATAGAAAATATGTAAATAACTAACATGTCCTCACGGGAAAAAGATCTCAAATTCTGGCATCTGTCATTTATTAGGGCATCTCCAATAGCTTCTCTAAAATTTTCTTCAAAATGGGGTAGCAAAAGTCATATTCTCCAAATTATTTTTACATCAACTCCAACAGTTTTCCCATTTTGAAGAATCTTTTTTTTTTCCTCCAAAAATTTGAAGAATACTGCAGATTTGGGGAAGCTTCCCTATTTTTTCTCCTCCATCCCTATTTTGGGGAATGTGACGTGGAATCTGTTGGACCAAAAACCTAACTAAATTCTCCAAAAGTGAGAAATGAGGAAGCTGTTGGAGATGTTCTTAAGCAGCATACCATTTTCCCTAAAACTTGAGATTTTCTATTAATAAAGTTTTGATTATTTACAAACTACGTGTAGAGGGGTCCCGTAAGAAACGTTCAAAGTTTAAGGGGTTCTGAGAGAAAATTCAGAGTGGTTACTTGAAATAAACAAAGTTCAAAGAGAGCGATCATGTGAACGTCCCCAAGGTTCCGAGGGGTTTTGTGTTACTAACCCTGCATGCTGTGTGGGGTCCACAGGAGACACGCCAAAAGGTGCCAAAAAAATTGAAGGCATTTCGCATTGGTGAAGCCCTTTTCAGTCGCCTAACCCAATCCGGCAACCCCGCATCATCAAATACTAAACACTCCGCTTCCATCGGCATGAAATTGCCTCCCATCTATCAAAATAAACGGCCGAGATCTTGCCCGCATAGAAAATTTTATGCGACCGCCAGAAAGTAATAATGGGTATAATAATTAATACTAATTAATCAGGAAAGGAAAAGGACAGGGCAGATTCAGAGATCAAAGCAGCCAAAAAACGACAGTAATCAAAACAAGCAGCACCTTAATCGCAGCCTGATTATTTTGCCGACTACTTACTATTATTATGCGTCTCTTCACTTCACCCTCATTTCAGAACCCCTGCTTTTCTCTCTTCCCTCTCCCAAACCCTCGTCTTCTTCCTCGAAGACCTCCTCGAAGACTTCAGATCTCGTCCAGGACCCCGATCAGATCCATGGCGGCCAGGGATGATGACCGCATCTCGAAGATCGCCTCGTCGATCCGCGTCATTCCGAACTTCCCCAAGCCGGGTGAGATCTCGATCCTCCTCTTCTTCTTGTTTTTTTTCTTTTTTCTATTTTTTTTTTGTGATGTTCGTGTTTGATGTTGTGGTTTCTGATGGGATTTTTTGGTGGTTTTGTCTGTTGAAGGGGTGATGTTTCAGGACATTACGACGCTGCTGCTTGAACCGAAGCTGTTTAGGGACACGATTGATATGTTCGTGGAGAGGTACAAGGACAAGGGGGTCACTGTTGTTGCTGGTAAATTTCTTGTTTTGTTTTTTTTCCTGATTGAATTTGTACCTCGCTTTTTCTTTTCTCAAGACGCAACGTGCGGTAACAATGAGTTCGGCGTCGAGGAAATGGAAGGGTGAGAGAGGGCACGGAGAGGTTGAGGACCAGAAAACTTTACCGTAAGACATGAGCGGTGAACTTACCGCTTCACTCCCCTAACACGTGAATGCGCGACTGTGTAGTTGTGCGTTCTAGTGGATTTCAATCTCTGGGATTAAAAAAATAACGTTGAAACTTGGAAGGACGCTTGTCGACGATGGTAGGAGCAAGCCTTGGAAGATTGGGGGATGTATGCTCTTGGAAATGCGCAAAGAGTAATTGTACAATTAATTTGCCTTTCAGAAATGTACTAGGAGGAGTCCTAGTGGCCAAGTAATTAATTGAGGCACATGATTTTAACGTGCCATCCATCAATAATGCAAGTCATGCCAAATAATGGATAGATTGAAACTGTCTCTCTGAGTGATGTGGATAACGAAGAACTGTGGAGGAATCAAATTAACGATTTGACTATTGGATGTGTGCACTGCTACATGAGCAACAACACACTGAAATTTCGCCTTGTTTGGATGTCCTTTGCCCTTCGATCAAGGATGAAACTCATCTTTGGACCTCGGAGTAATTTCAAACTCTAGATTTTTCTCACTTTTTTCTCAAGCCTTTTCTTTGATCTCCTATACACCATTCCACTAGCACATAGGTCCTCCATATATAAGTATCCTCGTTGCCAATTTTCAATGGAAAGTCTATTGCAAATTTACTCTTTCTCATTTTTCCAAGAGCATGGTGTTAGGGATGCACAATCCCCCTGATACGATTTGGAAATAGAGATTTAGGAGAGAAGAGAGAAAATCAAACAATCTCAAACACACAAGATTTACGTGGTTCGCTTCTCAATGTGAGAAACTACGTCCACGGCCGCCGCAGGAGAAAAATTCACTATTTTTCGTCTTAATACATCATGCCCTAATCAACCCTTTTATAGACTTAAGGGTTTAACAAGTAAAAAAGGAAACAGATCAAAACAGGTCAAAATTAAAAACTGGGCCAAAACCCGACTCCGGTCGACCGCCGTACTACATCCGGTCGACCGCAATGCTGTTCGAAATCTGCCTGGCTTTCTGGACTTTTGGCGGTCGACCGCAGCGCCATGCTCGGTCGATCGCGACGAAGTCAAAAGTCTAGATTGCTCTCTGGACTTTGAGCGGTCGACCGCTGCGCCACCTTCGGTCGATCGCGACAAGTTTCTGGCCTGTGCACCCAGCTGTGCACATAAGCGGTCGACCGTCACGTCCTGCTCGGTCGACCGCGATGCAGAAAAGTGCCTCCTTCGTCGTTTTTCTTGAACTTCGCCATTGTCGATCATGTTCATCCTGTTCCAACTTTGTTCCTCTTCATTCTGAAGTGTAGAGCATGCCTGATAGTTAGGCTTCACATATCCTAACAATCTCCCACTTGGAGACTAACTATCAATCTCTTTCAGCTCTCTCTGCGGCGACGGCCTCCATATCATCAAGTGCTGAGGCCAACTGAAGTTGAGCACAACTTCAGTTTCTCTGTAGTGACAACCTTGGTAAGCATATCAGCTGGATTTTTGCTTCCTTGAATCTTCACAAGTTCCAACATGTCCTTGTCCAACGCTGATCTTATGAAGTGGTAGCGGACCTGTATGTGTTTGGTTCTTGCATGAAAAGCGAGATTCTTTACCAAATGAATTGCGCTCTGGCTATCACAATGTAAGACACTCTTCTCACTCTTCTGTCCTAACTCCTCCAAGAAACCCTGTAACCAAATCATCTCCTTACTTACCTTTGTCACAACAACATATTCAGCCTCTGTCGTTGATAAAGCAACGATCTTCTGCAACTGAGAAACCCAACTAATAAAGCAACGATCTTCTGCAACTGAGAAACCCAACTAATAGCTGTAGAGCCCAAAGTGAATACATATCCTGTAGTGCCCAACTAATAGCTGTAGAGCCCAAAGTGAATACATATCCTGTAGTGCTCCTTCTCTGGTCTATCTCACTAGCATAGTCTGCATCAACAAAACCCTGCAGAGCTAACTTGCCTCTTCTAAAGCATAAACAATCTTCTATTGTACCTCGCAGGTATCTCAGAATCCACTTTATTGCTTCTCAGTGCTGCTCTCCTGGATCTGACATGAATCTGCTCACAGCTCTCACTGCATGGGCAATGTCAGGTCTCGTGCATACCATGGTGTACATAAGGTTTCCAATGGCTGAAGCATATGGAATCTTAGCCATGTAGTCTTTCTCTTCATCAGTCTCGGGACACTGCTCCTTAGTCAATTTGAAATGACTAGCTAACAGTGTGCTAACGGTCTTAGCACCGCTCATCCCGAATCTCTCAAGCACCCGTCGAATATACTCAGCCTGAGATAGTCGTAGTGTGCCTAAGAGTTTGTCTCTGCTAATCTTCATTCCTAATATCTACTTCGCTGCGTCTAGGTCCTTCATGTCAAACTCACTCGACAGCTGTTTCTTCAGCTTCTTGATCTCTCTTATATCTGAACCGGCTACAAGCATGTCGTCGACATATAGGAGCAGGATGGTGTAACTTTTATCTAACTCTTTGACGAAACAGCAATGATCAGCATTGCACCTGGAGTAATCGTTCCTGTGCATGAATCCATCGAATTTTTTGTACCATTGCCTTGGAGCTTGTTTTAGGCCGTACAAGCTCTTCTTCAATCTGCATACCATCTTCTCTTTTCCCTTCTGAGTAAACCCCTCTGGCTGCTGCATATATTTCTCTTCCTCTAGATCACCGTGGAGGAAAGCTGTCTTTACATCTAGCTGCTCGAGATGTAGATCTTCAGCTGCAACAATACTCAGGACTGTTCTGATAGTAGTTAGTTTGACTACTGGAGAGAAGATCTCTGTGTAATCAATTCTTTCTCTGCTGAAATCCTTTAACCACCAATCTGGCCTTGTATCTCTTGGAACCATCATGTTCCTCTTTGATTACCACCAATCTGGCCTTGTATCTCTTGGAACCATCATGTTCCTCTTTGATTCTGTACACCCATTTATTGCTCAAGGCCTTTTTCCCCGTTAGTAGCTTCGCAAGTTCTCATGTCTTGTTGGTGTTCAAGGATTTTATTTCATCTTTCATAGCAAGCTCCCACTTGCTCGCATCATCCACTCGGAGGGCCTCATCATAACTTTCTGGCTCTCCACCGTCACTCAATAATAGGTAGTTAAGATGAGCTCTGGGCTGTAGTGATGGATACTTTGGATTAGGCTTGGGGACTCTAGCTGACCGCCTCAACTCTCTAACGGGCGAAATAGTCTCTCCATCTTCATCTGCCCCCTCTGAAGTGGTCTCATCCATCAACTCTTCTTCTTCATCAGAACTAGCTTCGGGATTGTCTCCATCTGAGGCATCTATCTGACTCGAAATATGTAGGATCACTCTGCATTGTACTAGTGGGCTGAACGGCATCACGGTCTTTGTAGAGGACTGATTCGTTAAAGACCACATCCCTGCTTCTGATGATTTTCTTGTTCTGCTCATCCCAGAACTTGTAGCCAAACTCATCGCCGCCATAGCCAACAAAGAAATATTTTAAGGACTTAGGATCGAGTTTGCTTCTAGCGTGATCACTCAGATATACATATGAAACACATCCAAATACTCTCAGGCGAGAAATGTTTACCTGCTTTCCACTCCATACTTCTTCAGGTATTTTGTGCTCCAAAGACACTGATGGTCCCCGGTTGATCAAGTAGGCAGCTGTGTTGACTGCTTCTGCTCAGAATTGCTTTGGAAAACCTGCTTGCAACCGCATACTTCTGGCTCTCTCAGTCAATGTTCTGTTCATGCGTTCTGCTACGCCATTCTGCTGGGGTGTACCTGTCACTGTCCTCTCTAATCTAATGCCGCTGTCATAACAGAACTTCTTAAACTCTGAGTCTTCATACTCGTCGCCGTTGTCAAAACGAAGCTTCTTGATCTTCAAACCGGTCTCGTTCTCTACCATAGCCTTTCATCTTTTGAAGACTTCAAACACTTCTGATTTGTGTTTCATGAAATAGACCCAAGTCTTCCTCGAGTGATCATCTATGAAGGTCACAAAATATAACCTTCCGCCGGTGGATGTAACTGATGCTGGACCCCACACATCTGTGTGAACTAACTCAAGCTTCTCTTCTTTAGGAGTTTTGCCAACCCTTTTGAAGCTTATTCTCTTTTGTTTCCCAAGAATGCAGCTTTCACATAAATCAATATCAGCCGATCTCAAACCTGGTAACTTCTCATTCGATTGCATAACCTTTAGGTCTTTGTTACTCATGTGACCTAGCCTCTGGTGCCACAAATTTGGGTCTTCATTACTTTCAGCCACTGCAATGGAGCCTCGTGCATCTATCGTCATGTAGAGAGATCCAGTCTTCGTACCACGGGCAACAACCATGGATCCCTTTGTAACCTTCCATGTATCACATGCGAAGGTTGAAACGTATCCCTCTTTTGCCAATTGTCCTATGGAAATCAGATTTTTCCTCAAGCTAGGAACATGTCTCACATCGCTCAGCTTCCATGTAGACCCATTGAGCTTGATTTGCACGACTCCTTTGCCAACAATATCACAAGGCTGACCATCACCAAGATAGACTTTTCCTAGGTTTCCTGAAACGTAGTTCTCAAATAAATCTCTATTTGATGTAGCATGAAACGAAGCTCCTGAATCCAGCACCCACGATTCAGTCTTGCTTTCCAACGAACAGATCAGGGCATCATCTGATTCTCCTGAGACCACGTTCGCTTCAGTCTTGTTCTCCTTGTCCTTCTTGGGTTCTCGGCACTGATTTTCATAGTGGCCAAACTTGCCACAATTCCAGCAATCGATCTCCTTCTTACCCTTGCGGTTCCTGGACTTTGACCTTCCGTTCCTCGAGTTAGGTCTTCCACGGCTATTTCCTCTGTTTCTGTTTCTGTTTCTTCCTCTGTTCTCAAGATTCAACGCCGACCCTGAATTAGAAATCCCTTCCTCTTGCCTTCTAATCTCCTCAATCATAATCATGTCCACCACCTCTGAAAACTTCAGTTTTGATTTGCCACATGATCCGCTAATCGAGATAACGGTACCCTTCCAACTGTCGGGTAATTGACCAAGTATCAAGAGGGCTTGGATTTCATCGTCAAACTGAATATTGACCGAGTTTAATTGATCCGTGATCTCGTTAAACTCGTTCAGGCGTTCCTTGAATTTCTGGCTCTCGGACATCCTCAAATTAAACAACTTTTTAATGAGATGTATCTTATTCGCCGCAGAGGGCTGCTCATACATACTGGATAACGCCGGCATGAGATCCGCCGTCGTATTCTGATTCTTGATGTTGAAAGCTACTGATTTAGACAAGGTCAACCTGATCGCTCCAAGGGCCTTTCGATCCAATAGCTTCCAATCCGCATCTTTCATATCCGCCGGCTTCTCTCCCAATGGTAGGTATAAATCCTTTTGATAGAGGTAGTCCTCCATCTGTATCTTTCAGAACCCGAAGTTTGTTCCATCAAACTTCTCAATCTTGGATGTTTCCTTCTCAGATCCCATTGTCTCTGACCTCAAATCGCTCGCGCCGACCCTGGTCGCTCTGATACCACTTGTTAGGGATGCACAATCCCGCTGATACAATTTGGAAATAGAGATTTAGGAGAGAAGAGAGAAAATCAAACAATCTCAAACACACAAGATTTATGTGGTTCGCTTCTCAATGTGAGAAACTACGTCCACGGTCGCCGCAGGAGAAAAATTCACTATTTTTCGTCTCATTACGTCATGCCCTAATCAAGCCTTTTATAGACTTAAGGGTTTAACCAATAAAAAAAGGAAACAGAAAAAACAGGTTAAAATTCGAAACTGGGCCAAAACCCGACTCCGGTCGACCGCAGCACCACGTGCGGTCGACCGCGACGAATGCGACGAAGTAAAGTCTGGATTGCTCTCTGGACTTTGAGCGATCGACCGTTGCGCCACCTTCGGTCGACCGCGACAAGTTTCTGGCCTGTGTATCCAGCTGTGCACATAGGCAGTCGACCCGACCGCGACAAGTTTCTGGCCTGTGCATCCAGCTGTGCACATAGGCAGTCGACCGACGCGTCCTGCTCGGTCGACCGCGATGCAGAAAAGTGTCTCCTTCGTCGTTTTGCTTGAACTTCGCCATCGTCGATCATGTTCATCATGTTCCAACTTTGTTCCTCTTCATTCTGAAGTGTAGAGCATGCCTGATAGTTAGGCTTCACATATCCTAACACATTGAACCTTCAAACTTCCCAAAACTTTCTTTGAGCCTTGGTTCCCATTCTCTGGTCAGAAATAAAATTTTACTATATGCTTTGATAATAAACTCACCTATGATCAGATATTTGCGTCATAGCTTAAGTGCGGACATGATGGGTAGCATCTTGTTTCATTAGTGACTGAGTGAATGTACGACCTTTCGACCCTTTGCCATATATGGAATGGGATGACTTTCCTGCATGAGTAAACCTCCAATACCCATCCCATTTTAATAGAAAAAGACTTAGATGATAACTAAGTTTTTCAAATGCAAAACTTACACGATGTCATATCAAATGACAGTTATAAGTTTACTTTCTTTCTTAGGCATCTTTCTTCTTACTTTGTATGGAGTTTTAATCAAGGTTTTAAATATCATATGTCGGAGGACATGTTGGAAGGACAAAATCCATATTGGATTGCGGAAATCGGAGAAATATCAAGGATATGTAGTAAATATCGGAGTGCTAAATCAGATGATGCAATTTATAATATGGTGCTCTAAAATGTATCTGCAAGACTAAAGACTAGCAAATAAGAACAATTTGAATTTATATGTTAATTGTTATGGGTTGATAGCATTCTTGAAGCTCAACTACAAAAACTCAAGTGAAACTTTTAAATGTTAAAACCAAAAGAAGCATGATGTATTGCAAAATGGTAACTTTTGTTTGCACAATCTGTTCATATATGCACGTGACAAGGTATTTTCTAGTATAAACCAAAACTTGAAAGTTGTAATCTGAAAAAAAAAAGCAAAACAAAACAAAACTGGCCTCTTTTTAGGCTGCAATTTCCGATATATGCACCGGCATATCCCCGATATTGGGTCTAAAATACCATACGATATGAAAGTTGAGATTTCCTTGCGGACCCCAAATCCGACATGTTGCCCGTCATGTCCGACATGGCGGTCGCAATTTAAAACACTGGTTTTAATTAAGGCATCTGTCATTTAGCGAATTTTAGATCCCTTTTGCTTCATCATGATATTATCTTTTTCTTTCAATCAGTTATGATGATTTGTGCCAAATTAAAGTGTGATTTGTTAGCTTGATTCCTTAATAGAATCTGTTTAATATCAGCTGTGTAACTTATATTTGACACTGAAATATACACCCTAAAATCTGGATTTTTAAAATGTGTGCAGGAATTGAAGCGAGAGGCTTTATATTTGGGCCTCCCATTGCTTTGGACATAGGAGCAAAGTTTGTACCTATGAGAAAGCCAAAGGTCGACCGCAGCACCATGCTCGGTCGACCGCGACGAAGTCAAAAGTCTGGATTGCTCTCTGGACTTTGAGCGATCGACCGTTGCGCCACCTTCGGTCGACCGCGACAAGTTTCTGGCCTGTGCATCCAGCTGTGCACATAGGCAGTCGACCGACGCGTCCTGCTCGGTCGACCGCGATGCAGAAAAGTGTCTCCTTCGTCGTTTTGCTTGAACTTCGCCATCGTCGATCATGTTCATCATGTTCCAACTTTGTTCCTCTTCATTCTGAAGTGTAGAGCATGCCTGATAGTTAGGCTTCACATATCCTAACACATTGAACCTTCAAACTTCCCAAAACTTTCTTTGAGCCTTGGTTCCCATTCTCTGGTCAGAAATAAAATTTTACTATATGCTTTGATAATAAACTCACCTATGATCAGATATTTGCGTCATAGCTTAAGTGCGGACATGATGGGTAGCATCTTGTTTCATTAGTGACTGAGTGAATGTACGACCTTTCGACCCTTTGCCATATATGGAATGGGATGACTTTCCTGCATGAGTAAACCTCCAATACCCATCCCATTTTAATAGAAAAAGACTTAGATGATAACTAAGTTTTTCAAATGCAAAACTTACACGATGTCATATCAAATGACAGTTATAAGTTTACTTTCTTTCTTAGGCATCTTTCTTCTTACTTTGTATGGAGTTTTAATCAAGGTTTTAAATATCATATGTCGGAGGACATGTTGGAAGGACAAAATCCATATTGGATTGCGGAAATCGGAGAAATATCAAGGATATGTAGTAAATATCGGAGTGCTAAATCAGATGATGCAATTTATAATATGGTGCTCTAAAATGTATCTGCAAGACTAAAGACTAGCAAATAAGAACAATTTGAATTTATATGTTAATTGTTATGGGTTGATAGCATTCTTGAAGCTCAACTACAAAAACTCAAGTGAAACTTTTAAATGTTAAAACCAAAAGAAGCATGATGTATTGCAAAATGGTAACTTTTGTTTGCACAATCTGTTCATATATGCACGTGACAAGGTATTTTCTAGTATAAACCAAAACTTGAAAGTTGTAATCTGAAAAAAAAAAGCAAAACAAAACAAAACTGGCCTCTTTTTAGGCTGCAATTTCCGATATATGCACCGGCATATCCCCGATATTGGGTCTAAAATACCATACGATATGAAAGTTGAGATTTCCTTGCGGACCCCAAATCCGACATGTTGCCCGTCATGTCCGACATGGCGGTCGCAATTTAAAACACTGGTTTTAATTAAGGCATCTGTCATTTAGCGAATTTTAGATCCCTTTTGCTTCATCATGATATTATCTTTTTCTTTCAATCAGTTATGATGATTTGTGCCAAATTAAAGTGTGATTTGTTAGCTTGATTCCTTAATAGAATCTGTTTAATATCAGCTGTGTAACTTATATTTGACACTGAAATATACACCCTAAAATCTGGATTTTTAAAATGTGTGCAGGAATTGAAGCGAGAGGCTTTATATTTGGGCCTCCCATTGCTTTGGACATAGGAGCAAAGTTTGTACCTATGAGAAAGCCAAAAAAACTGCCTGGTATCTTTTTCATGTATACTTGCTTTCGAATTAGAAAAAAATTGCCTTGTATATATGAGAGGTTATATTAATGCTTTATACCTGTCACAGCTAATATTATATTAGAAATATTCTTTTCCTCTTTTAAGTTTTAATATTGTCAGCCCTGATGATACATATTAGAGAAATTGTTTTCCTCTTCTTCTAAGCTTTTTGTGGTATGTTCTGGTCATGGCTATGAGAAATATCCAAACTAGTAGAACCATGCTATTTGCAGAATGATGAGAAAGTTGCTGTAGTTATTTAATATTTTTTTTCTAGTGCAGGATTTACCATCTTTAGTATTTGGATATCAGATAAAACTTCTCAGTCGTAAATATTGATCCAAATTATCTTTTTCGGTTTACTGATGGTTGCATGGGACCTCTAAATCATAATCACATATAAAGTTCAAAATTTGACTTTACCAAAAGAAATGATATGAAGCTCTTTAGCTGCATTTGAAGCTTTTCTCTTGGAAGAGAACAGTCCCGTATTTTAGATTACTTCTAATCTCTACTCTTGCTTTGGTTTCAGTTTGAAAGCTTCATGCTACTTCTGGAGAACTCTTTATGTTCACTATCCGTAAAACAATATGCTTGTATATATACACATTCTACTGACTAGTCCTCAGTTTTCTGGACTTACTAATGATCTATGGGCCTCAGGTGAAGTCATTTCGGAAGAGTACTCTCTAGAATATGGTACAGACAAAATGGAGATGCATGTGGGAGCTGTACAACCAGGAGACCGCGTCCTAGTCATTGATGATCTTATTGCAACTGGAGGGACTTTGTGTGCTGCAATCAAGCTTCTTGGTAATTTTATCTGACTTCAGCTCAAAATCTTGTAAATTTTTTTCTCTACTCTTCTGTTTTCCTTTCATTTTGATTTACTCAGGGCTCTTCATAATAAACAATTTCTTGTTGTTCGTTCTCTTTATTATTGTTATGAATTTCTGCTCAACTAGACGTTCTCAGTTGTTATGAGTAGAACTGCTTGTCTTAATTTGGACTGCAACAGAAGATGAAAGATTGAGTTCCTTGTATCAGAAAGAGAAGAATGCTGGACAACATTTGTCTGAAATACGATTTCTTTTTATTCCAAAATCCAAATTTATCTGTGGTCAAATTAGGTCATAATATATTTAGATTAGAATATGGTACATTCATGTTACTTATTTAAGCATTGTGTCTCTCTCAGAACGCGTGGAAGCAGAGGTGGTGGAATGTGCCTGTCTTATTGAATTGCCAGAGTTAAAGGTTAGGGCCATTACACCTTATCTCACACAGCATATTCTAATATGAATCCAATTGCTCATGTAACAAACATTGATCAACGTGCTCTATGAATCTGTCAAATTTAGAGCACTCGATAACCTCTTTCCCAAGCATCCACCATGCTCCCCTTGATTTCAATTATGATTTCTTATCTGCTTATTCTCAAACTGATTATGCTTCTGCTTGTTTTCTGCTTATGAGATTTGGATTTTGGAAAAGACTTTGAGCCTTTGCTTTCATCTCAATGTAGATAATTTTGAAGATGAAACACATGTACAATATCTAGTGTGTTTTCTTTAATTAAATTTCCTTGGCAGATTTATTTGATTTTTTACTAAGATTAATTTATTGGAATTATTTTTTAATTGAGATTCTTATCTAGCAATTAGAGTTTTTGACAAAATGTGGTGTAATCTCTGTATAATTACTATCGTCTTGATGATTAATTGAACTGACTGAGTTTGACTCATTTGATTGAGAGTGTAATTCACTAGTTTCTTATTGTTTTGATAATTAATTGAACTGATTGAGTTTGACTCATTTGATCGAGAGTGTAATTCGCTGTTTCCTTCTCTCAGTAATTGTATTTTCCTTTCTATTCCTATGCAGGGCCCTTCTGGGCCCTAAGACCCCCTTGACAAACCTGAAACCACAACCCCTGCAACCCCAAATCCAATTTCCCACCACGCGACTCTTAAATTTGGTGTTGTTTGCATAGTTTGCTTGATTATCTGCCTAGAGCTAGACTTAGGGAGATTGTCGGGATTTAGATTATTTCTTTTAGTTATCCAGCTAATTTTGGTTGTCTAATTACTTTTATTTTTTATTTTTTTTGTGTATTAATTCAGAAGGATCATGTTATTTTATAGTTTGCGTGGAGGATCAAGTCATTTGGAGTTTCCACTCTTTATTCATAAGTTTGCATGTCAGAAAGTTAATAATCTTGCTTTGCGACCCCTATTCCTCATTGTTGATTCCTACTTTGTTAGTTTATGAGTCCTAATTAGTGTATGAGTTCCAATTTGTTCGCGGAAACATTATAAATCAAAGTAGTCCATTCTTGTGTATTGTTATTTTGGGCGTACCCTATCATCTTAATCTCGAATTCTGTATGGTATGTTGTGCTACAAGATATCCAAGCTAAGACGAGTATCACTTCATGCAGGGCCGCGAGAGACTAGGAGATAAACCACTCTTCGTCCTTATAGAAGCAGCTTGATGTCGGCTTTTTTTTTTTTAGCTGCGGGGAGTTTCACCGCTGCATTAGCCTCTTTGGCTCTGATTATTGTAATAAATTGATATATAAACCAAGCATTATTATTAGAGCGCTTTTGTACTACATAGACAACATGATTATAGAACCTTATTGTATTGATGTGTTTTTCTCACCAATAAGCAATGCATGCCATGTCTCCAAACACAGGCAGCAATATTTTATTGGTGTGCCAGTAGTCAAAGAGAACTTCACGTGATGATGTGAATTTTTGTGGTTTGTTGGTGTAATTGAAAACGAGATTTTGGTTGATTACTGGGCAGCTGTATGATCTCAAAGCCCAACTTAATTTCCGCCTCCTGAGACAAAATTCAGTCCGGAGATCATGCGGTTAGCATGATGCTTCCTGCAGAATTGATTGGCAATGCTTGTGAATATTTGGGTCGGTGAGGTTTGTATTTATTGGAACTGATAATATATATCTCAAGATTGTGCTGGTTACATTTATTGATCAATTACTGGGAGCTCACTTGAACTTGTTGATAAATCAAACAAATCAGGCTTTGGATTAGAAAAGAAAAATCAACAAAACAACGGTTTGTATTCTGCTATAATCTGTTCTACCACACAAATTTAGTTCCAGGTTGCACATTTAGGGGTTCTTTGGTGGGATTGAAATAGGGTTGACTGTGTAAATAGAGCAATTTGATTTGTAAATACATTGTTTGGTTTATAATTTTATAATTAGAAAAGATAAATTAACTTGTATTTTGTAGAAAAAAAACTTGCAACAAATGCTAATCAAACAAATCAGGCTTTGGATTAGAAAAGAAAAATCAACAAAACAACGGTTTGTATTCTGCTATAATCTGTTCTACCACACAAATTTAGTTCCAGGTTGCACATTTAGGGGTTCTTTGGTGGGATTGAAATAGGGTTGACTGTGTAAATAGAGCAATTTGATTTGTAAATACATTGTTTGGTTTATAATTTTATAATTAGAAAAGATAAATTAACTTGTATTTTGTAGAAAAAAAACTTGCAACAAATGCTAATCAAACAAATCAGGCTTTGGATTAGAAAAGAAAAATCAACAAAACAACGGTTTGTATTCTGCTATAATCTGTTCTACCACACAAATTTAGTTCCAGGTTGCACATTTAGGGGTTCTTTGGTGGGATTGAAATAGGGTTGACTGTGTAAATAGAGCAATTTGATTTGTAAATACATTGTTTGGTTTATAATTTTATAATTAGAAAAGATAAATTAACTTGTATTTTGTAGAAAAAAAAACTTGCAACAAATGCTAATCAAACAAATCAGGCTTTGGATTAGAAAAGAAAAATCAACAAAACAACGGTTTGTATTCTGCTATAATCTGTTCTACCACACAAATTTAGTTCCAGGTTGCACATTTAGGGGTTCTTTGGTGGGATTGAAATAGGGTTGACTGTGTAAATAGAGCAATTTGATTTGTAAATACATTGTTTGGTTTATAATTTTATAATTAGAAAAGATAAATTAACTTGTATTTTGTAGAAAAAAAAACTTGCAACAAATGCTAATCAAACAAATCAGGCTTTGGATTAGAAAAGAAAAATCAACAAAACAACGGTTTGTATTCTGCTATAATCTGTTCTACCACACAAATTTAGTTCCAGGTTGCACATTTAGGGGTTCTTTGGTGGGATTGAAATAGGGTTGACTGTGTAAATAGAGCAATTTGATTTGTAAATACATTGTTTGGTTTATAATTTTATAATTAGAAAAGATAAATTAACTTGTATTTTGTAGAAAAAAAAACTTGCAACAAATGCTAATCAAACAAATCAGGCTTTGGATTAGAAAAGAAAAATCAACAAAACAACGGTTTGTATTCTGCTATAATCTGTTCTACCACACAAATTTAGTTCCAGGTTGCACATTTAGGGGTTCTTTGGTGGGATTGAAATAGGGTTGACTGTGTAAATAGAGCAATTTGATTTGTAAATACATTGTTTGGTTTATAATTTTATAATTAGAAAAGATAAATTAACTTGTATTTTGTAGAAAAAAAAACTTGCAACAAATGCTAATCAAACAAATCAGGCTTTGGATTAGAAAAGAAAAATCAACAAAACAACGGTTTGTATTCTGCTATAATCTGTTCTACCACACAAATTTAGTTCCAGGTTGCACATTTAGGGGTTCTTTGGTGGGATTGAAATAGGGTTGACTGTGTAAATAGAGCAATTTGATTTGTAAATACATTGTTTGGTTTATAATTTTATAATTAGAAAAGATAAATTAACTTGTATTTTGTAGAAAAAAAAACTTGCAACAAATGCTAATCAAACAAATCAGGCTTTGGATTAGAAAAGAAAAATCAACAAAACAACGGTTTGTATTCTGCTATAATCTGTTCTACCACACAAATTTAGTTCCAGGTTGCACATTTAGGGGTTCTTTGGTGGGATTGAAATAGGGTTGACTGTGTAAATAGAGCAATTTGATTTGTAAATACATTGTTTGGTTTATAATTTTATAATTAGAAAAGATAAATTAACTTGTATTTTGTAGAAAAAAAAACTTGCAACAAATGCTAATCAAACAAATCAGGCTTTGGATTAGAAAAGAAAAATCAACAAAACAACGGTTTGTATTCTGCTATAATCTGTTCTACCACACAAATTTAGTTCCAGGTTGCACATTTAGGGGTTCTTTGGTGGGATTGAAATAGGGTTGACTGTGTAAATAGAGCAATTTGATTTGTAAATACATTGTTTGGTTTATAATTTTATAATTAGAAAAGATAAATTAACTTGTATTTTGTAGAAAAAAAAAACTTGCAACAAATGCTAATCAAACAAATCAGGCTTTGGATTAGAAAAGAAAAATCAACAAAACAACGGTTTGTATTCTGCTATAATCTGTTCTACCACACAAATTTAGTTCCAGGTTGCACATTTAGGGGTTCTTTGGTGGGATTAAAATAGGGTTGACTGTGTAAATAGAGCAATTTGATTTGTAAATACATTGTTTGGTTTATAATTTTATAATTAGAAAAGATAAATTAACTTGTATTTTGTAGAAAAAAAAACTTGCAACAAATGCTACAACTGCTTTGGTAGGAGAAAAAGCTGCAGCATTAAAAAAAGGAAGCTAAAAAATAAATATAAATTTCACCTCATAAAAGATCTTTTTAAATTCAAATAGTAAATAACATCCACCGTAGTTTCCTCATATGGTAAAATTATGTAGTTTTCGCACTGCTTATTTTAAACCAAACACTGAATTTGCATTGGAAACGTATTTCTTAGAATATATAAATTGCAAGCATTCAAACGGTGAACTAGGAGTTGATTTTCTGCAGCAAATATTACATGCAACATTTGTTGTAATTTATTTTTACAGCACACCGAGCATCCCCTTTTAATGACTCATTGAAATTCAACAAAGTAACCTGATCTATTGATTGATCGAAACGAAGAATAATCGGGCATTTGTCATGCTAGGATTTTGTGTATGTGTGACATTGAAAAAATAACTGTGTTTAGTAAATCTGGACATGTTTTCCGAATTCTCCAAGAATAGTAATAATGTTAGTAGTAGAGGATTATTTTAGTTGTAAAATTACCCAACTAAATCACTATGTCGTAAATATTTCATGGCTAAATAGCACTTACATACCATAAAGTTTTCTTATTAAATCATGAGTTGTTTTCCGTGGCAAATAAATATCATAAGTTATTTTTAAAATTGGCATGTTGGTACTATCAATCATGCAAACATGAAAATTTTCACATAGATGTTCCCATATGATACTAACATGTTAATTTTATACGTTTTTAACTATTAATATTCATTAAAATTATCATGAAACACATCTCAACTATATTTAAAGTAGAATTAAGACAAGTTTAAAAAGGAATTTGAAAGGTTTAATGACAAACTTAATAGATATTAATTAATTATTATTTATTATTAATTAAATATGTAAGTATCATCAACGTTCGTGTGGAAATTTTCACGTTTGCGTCATTGAGTATACTAACAAGCTAATTTTAACAATTTCTAATATGTTTTCGAAAAAAAAATCACAGTATATAGTATATAAGTGCCGAAACGAGAAAACTTTTCGGTGCCATGTATGTGGACCCCACCGTCTCACACCAGTTAAGCCCCTCAGTTTTTGAGTATCCCCCGGACCTCAGATCTCGCTTTATTTTCGCAGGATTTCGGTCTCGAATATTTTAAACCCCTCTAATTTCGAACCCTATTACTGTATCAAAATCTCGTGTTAGCTCCGATGGTCGTCTGCAAATGTCGGAAGGTGATCGATTTCTACGAGATTGCATTTTTATTCCCGAAATTAGATTCATATCTTTTGTAGGGCTACTTATCCTAAAATCTTCGGATCTGTGATGAGAATTCGAATTGATGTAATATTTTGTTTATTATTATTATTATTATTATTATTATTTTGATTTCAGGCGACCAGGATTTATTGTTTCGTGCACAAGGTTCCAGTTTGCGGAGAATGCATCTGTCTTCCTGAGCACCAGATTTGTGTGGTAATTCTAATTGATTTTATTTAAGATTTTTTTTTTACTTGAAGCGTTGTAATCGTTTGTTATTTCTTTGCATCTTTGTTGAAATCGTCAGATCGTAAATGCTTTGGAGGTTTTTTTTTAATTTACAATGCGTAGTTGCAAGTTTTAGCGCGACAATGCATTGTTTTGATCTTTAATTTGGGGTAAATTTCTTGTTATTGTGATTTCAAGTTGAGGAGCGCACTTTTTTAACTTAGACTCTGGATATTTGAGTGGGACGTTAACTGAATTATGGAATTTGATTTATGTCCTCTTAGAATCGTGGGCAATTTTCTAAAGTTTTTATTTTTGGCACAATTTTTCTGAAGAGGCCTGAAAATTAATTATGTACATTATTTTGATATTTACAAAATAGCATCGGTTGTGTGGGAGGATGAAGAACATAATTTTCCTCATTGGGGGAGTGGAGTTGGGGTTTTGTGAAATAAAATTGTTTCGTGAACAAGCAATTTGGAAACCAACTTAAAAATAAATTATGCGTCAACTACAAATGATGGTTGATAGCATTTGAGTTTTGAACCCAGAGATGTGATTGATTTTTTAGAGTTGGAATTATGGATAAGTTTGGTAGAATTTTGATCAAAACAGTGATAGGGATGGGAAAGCTAGGGGAAAAATAATAACTTGATGGAGGCACACTTCTCTTTAAAATTTTCACATCTTTGAAAAATTCTCTTTCTCCAAGTGTGATCATTTGCATTTAGTACGTAAAGTAGAGACCACAGAGATATTCGTAGATAGACTCATTTAAGTACATAACCAAATAGACCAGTAGCAAGTAGCAACTTTTATTAGGTTTTCCAATTTAACAAAATAGATTGACTCCTCATTGAGCGTGGATGGAAATTGATTATGTAGCTGGCTAAAAGATTTGGGATAAACATTTTATTGTTGTCATTCTTTGTATTAATCCTGATTTAGACAAACTTATTTGTCCCTTTAGAAAGTGTGTAATCAACTAAATTACAAATTAACTGTGTTATCAAAAATTTAATTTAAGTTAGGGTTCTGGAATGCTAGCTTGATTAGGAACCTTATCAGGTTAGTAATTTAACCAATCTCCCTGCAATCTCTGTAGGTCCTTTTTTTAATTATCTAACTTACCTAATTATCTTTTTGGGGTGCTCTCTCACCTGCTAACCCAAGAAACTATACCCATCCTCTCAAAACTGACCTTATAACAAAGCACTAAACCTCTTGTGGTCCCTAAATTTTATCAGAATTAGTGCAGACATCCTCAACTCCTAGGCATTAATTTAAATATCAAATTAGTCTTAATTAATGAACCAACTAAGTGTGAAACAACAGTAGTACAAACTGAAACAAAAAACATGACAAATTCAGTATAAACAACACCCCCTTTACCCCCAGCCTCTTCTACACACACATACAAACACACACACACACACACACACACACACACACACACACACACACGAAAGAAAAATAAAACCAAAATTGAGAAAATTGCTCTCGACCAATGAGTTTGATCAACAAATCTTTCAAATCTTCATTGAAAACGTCAACCATGCAGCATTAGCAACATATCCCTGAGCCATGATCTTTCTTGCTAAAATATGGGCTTCAAACAACACGACTCCATGAAATTAGAGACATGATGATGTAACATCTTTGCTTTCTGGTTGAAAGTTTAAAGGGATGTTAAAAAACAAAGAGAAGGAAGATAATGTCATATCCCATGGGCCACGGCGAGCCAAAGCTCTAGTACTAAATGGCGTGGTTTCAAAAGAAATAAGAGAACCTAACAATTTGTTTAATGAAAAATTAGTAGCAAACAAAACACAATATCAAAATCTTTTGGTTACAGTAGTATTCTACTCAAACATATATTTAGACTTGACATGTATGATTGTCTTGCAAGATAGACAATGAATCAAGTTGTATAAACCGATATCGATATGTATTAACCATCCACTTTGTTTTTTTCAGGTGAGATACAAAGATACCTCATATTAGAGTGAGCCCAATATAAAACATAAAATACCGGCAAATTATGAGAGTTTCAGTCTGATGTCATCGAAATGGGATGTAAAATGTTACATGCCAAACTATAGGAAATACTTTGTCCTTACATTTCCATGCAGGCCATTAATGTAGTAGCATACTCATCATCTCTATTTGCAGTTCCTCTTTTAATCCCACTTATTTCTCTATTTTAGGTAAAAAATTACTCTGATTGGGTAGTCAATGGAGAGTATGACTGGCCTCCTGACTGTTCCCTATGTCATGTTGTGATTGAAGCTGGAGCAGAAACTACTCGACTGGGTTGCTTGCGTATGTTATATTGTATTTTCTTCCTTAGATTCTAACCTATAATTGACAGAAAGATTATCTTGAATTATTTTGCATCATGTTGTTGTATATTCGATTGTTTCAGATGTTATGCACACTAGTTGCCTGGTGTCACATATTCAAAGTTTTCCTCCTCAAACAGTGCCAGCAGGATATGTGTGCCCTGCATGTTCTTCTCCTGTAAGACTCATAAGAAATTTTCATGATGTTATCTCGTCTACTTTATTGCAGTATCCAGGGCTGTGATGATTTTTTGCAGACTGCAGTTAAACATAATGCCTAGATATCTGTGTTTTTTGGGGGGATATGCAAGTTTCATGTATTATTTTAAATTATTACCAGGGTAGGGTAGCCCAGTGCACGAGGCTCCCACCATTGTGGGCTATGGGGAGGCTCAGATGTACGCAGCCTTACCTCCGTATGCGAAGAGGCTGTTTCCAGAGTTTAAATTATTACCAGCTGTCACTAATTCAAACAGGACCTCATTTTATCTTTTTGGTTGCAAGCATTTTTGTTTGCCATCTTATATGTTCCAGGATAGCTACCATGTATTGTTCTTCACTGAGCTCATTTTACCTTTGCTTTAAGCAGAAGAATTTTACTGTCACCTTTTATCTCTATCTTTTCAAAACCAGAGCATTTCTTTCCTAAAATCACTCTCTGGTCAACCATAGGATTTTCATAATTTTTTGAAGGTAAATATATGTACATACATTGTGCTGCTGATACCTGGTGAGTTAAAATGTTGAGCACTGAAATGTCATGTTCAGAAGACAATTCTTTCAAAATTGGTGGTGTATAAGAAAGATGAGCAGTCCTCCATGGAAGACAGAACTGTGAATGTGTTTATTCATGTAAAGTAGAAGCAGCATGGTGAGAAATAAGATGAGGTAAAACCGTGTGAGGTGCTTTGGTGATGAGAGACAACTCTACTAGCATGGGGTTCCACATAGGCATGCATGGATCAATGTACCTGCACAACAATCCATCCATAGACATAAATTGTTCACGTGGATCTCCATTTCCTCAAGGGTAAATGTATAAGAAATTACACAATTTCAAGGTCTCTAGCCTATTAGTTAGTGATTGCAACATGAATGACAGTAGTATAATGAATTATGGTCACTTTATAAGTAGATAGAGATCTCCATATTGATCTATGTTTTGTACATTTACGTTTCAGTGTGGAAATTGTTATGGATATTTTTGGATCGTTTAGAAATTAGTCTGTTCAGTAATTATTAGGCAACCCTAGCCCTAACACGAGTTACTTAAGGTGTCTGTGATGCAGGAATTTCTGAGATTAGTCCAACTGACCCTCCCTTCTTCCTGCCCTCTGTGTGTGCACGTGACCGCGCATCCATGTGTTTGTGTGTGATAATGAGATATGCTGAAAAAACATGTAAATTGTTATGTAATCTTAATTTTGTGAGATATTGGATCTGCTATGCTTTTTAAAGCACTCATAAGCTTAGAATCTCAAAAATGTGAAATTGGATATCATACCATCTTAATTTTAGTAGGAAGACTTTGCTAGCGTTACCAATCATCTTGGATTTGTGCTGATAGTTACAATAGATCAGTGGAGCTCCCCAGTAATAATTTTCTTAGAAATTTGTAGCCTTGCAAATTTCTAACCTATATTTCCCATGACAAATTAAATGATGGTTGTGCATGCAACTTTTTTCGTATTATAGAAAAGTGCTTTATTTGTGTGCAGATATGGCCCCCAAAAAGCATTAGAGATACGGGATCTCGCCTTCATTCGAAGTTGAAAGAAGCAATAATCCAGGTAAGATGCCATTTAAATGTTCTTAGATATGGTTGTGCGTGTAACAAGTTTGAATGCTTATTGACTTATTATTTAACTAGTCGAGGATGTTTAGCTCATTGCAGTATATGCATCCTTGTCTAATTGTCTGGTAAACACATGAGTTAATGTACCACCAACCACTAAGGTTCAACATCAGAGCATGTCTGTTCCATCCAGACATTGCCACAGCCTTTGGGACACCAGTTTCTTAGTTGGAAGATGAGAGGGAAGGTTCCTTCTTTGATGGTAAAACTCAGGAAGTTTGCTATTTTCAAGTATCATCTTGATTTTGGCATTTGATGATCCTACAGATTACTGTAACTGACATATATTAACAAAGTGATTGATTGTGGGTATACACTTTCAGAGGAAACTACAGATAGTAGCTGGGAAATAGGTCAAGATAGTGCGCGGTTTTTTTGGGAGAACGAGAAAAGTGAACTCCCATTTCCTTGGCAGAATGGGATGAACTCTTTTTTGAAATCACATTGGCTCATCTAGCATTAGTTTTGATTAGTGTTATTAGTTGTTATGCTAGTACAGTTTATTCATAGTGTTCCTTTAATATCTTGCTTATGGTATTGTGTTGATGGATCTCAGAGTGGCTTGGAGAAAAATATTTTTGGAAATCATTTGGTTTCGTTACCAACAGTACAGTCCCTTGCTTCTCCTCCAGCTTTTGCTTCAGATCCGCTTGCCCACGTATCTGGTGTTGGTGTCGAAGATGGAGAGAAATATGGTTCCATTTCAGTGGATATTAATAGATATCCAACTTTACCATCTTCTGCTACGGGGTCTTCTAAAAATTCAGAATCAGAGATAGTTGAAATTGATGGTCCCAGTCCTTTAGAGAACCAATTTGTAGCAGATCAAGATCCAAAATTCAAGAAAAGCGAGAGCCTTGCTGGTGTAAGTAATATCGCAGCAGTTAATTATTATCTTTTAACATCTATATCTGATTCAGTTATATGTGATATATGTTTATCTACTATTTGCATATTTAATACGCATTCTTGACATTTAGTGGCCTAATGTCTTACAGCCTGGTGCCACTGCAAGAAAGGGGCCACACCATGTGGACAGGCAATATTACGAAACGTCATATTATGCAGATGATGAAGATGTAACAAGTAAAAAATATACCAGAAGAGGTAAATCAGAAGAGTTTGATCATGTCTTCTTTATGTCTGTTCATTTTTGTCAAGAGAGTGCAACGAGCAGAAGTTTGGTTTCCTGTCATGTTCTGAAGAATAAACACCAACCAGGTGTCTGTTTGTTAGACTTGTGATCATCCTTATTTCATCAATACTGAGCTTAGTATATGGCTTCAAATCTCCCTTGGAGATGGCTTGTTATAGTGAAGTTTTATTGCAGATATCTTTCCTTTAGCGAGTGCTTAAACTTGCTTTGAGGTATAATAGTAGATCCAACTTCATGTCTAATAGATCAGTTTGAATTACATTGTTGTGATGCTTGGGTTTTCTTAAAAAAAAAGTATTAACTTTTGTGCTTGAGGTTGGTAAATTGGAGAAGCTACTCAGTCAGGTGGGTAGACCTTTTCTTCCCAATCCTCTGTGTCTTCCATTAACACATTCAGGAACAAGTTGAAATAGAAATCCAAAATCCAAAGTGAGTTGAGTTTATGTCGGTGATGATTGGTTTCAAAGAAAACCTGGCAATTTCCAATCCGATTTATAAGACGTGGGCTTCTGTAACTTCACAAGCAAACACATAAACCCAATAATTTGAAATGGAAATAGTTGGATTCCAGCGGATATGTAACTAAAGAAGCTTTACAGCTTCTCTCTTATCTTAAAGGGAAGCAACAGTTCTTTCCTGTCTCCTCTTTCCTTTGATTTCTTTCAGCCTTCAATTGAAACTATACTGCCTCCTCTCTAGTTCTCCTATATGGGATATTCACCAAGAATTTTTCCTGTACCTCGTTACCATGGAACTCAAGAGTAACAAGAATTTCCTTGTCTCTTCTTCTTTTTTATTATTCCACCCAAGAAGAGCACCTGAGCAACGTTATTTTCATGTGGTGTTTCAAGGTGAGGAATCTATTGTTATGTGGAGTAGGGGTGCGCATGAATTGGGTCAGGCTGGTGTTGGTGACATGCCATACTCAAATCTGAAATTTTGAGCATACTTTTGAGAGGACTAAGATCCACCCAATGTGTTTTGGGCATTTATGTTCAGGTCCAGTTTGTTGGATCTGGGCGAGTGGAGAGGTCAAGTTGGTTTAGCCAATGATTTGTTAAGTAGAAATATGTACACAATTTAAATAGGTACAATACCGTAGATCTTCTAATGGAAAATAACATGCTCTGTTTAAGCACATATACCAACATATGTATACTTATACGTCTGACATGATATTTGTATTATATATGCACAGCTTACACATGATATATGTATATAGACATTTACGTTATCGGGATTTTGGCAGGGTTCATTTTCAGTTACATCTTGGGTTTTACAAAATGGGTTTGGGCGGGTCTGGAAACAATAAAACAAAATCCGTCCTTTCATATTGGAGCAGGTTTTCAAAGCTTTCCGAACAGCCTATATTTTGGATTAGGTTGGTGTAAGTTATATTCGAACGTGTCAATATGCAGTATGCACCCCCCTGGTCTGGAGGGATACTACTGATTTGTTATAAGTACTGCATTGATACTGAGAAACAATTTCTTAGGTTTTCATTAAGTGCAGTTTCCCTTGAAGTTAGGGCTTATTGTCATCAACATTTCACTCCTTCTAGGTCGGTGGTGTTTAAAATTGTGATTGGTTAGGCTTGACTAAACCGAAACTGCAGAACACTTCCTCCACAATTTTCAAATCTGCATCTTGCTATATTTTTCTATACTGTGATCAGGTTCAAATCTGAGAGCCAATTCCAAATTATCATTTTTCAGTTTTCATCCAACAAAATTACGTCTACACCAGAATTTGATATATCTTATGTTCATATCATTTACCTATTTCAATTGAGGAAAATATTTTTCATGTGGAAGAGTGCCAGCTAAGTCTCTGACAAGTTGCTGATATTACTATTGCTTCATAACCAAACTGGACTAAGCTTCGAAAAGCATTTGTAGCTACCGTGTACTGATTGAGGGGAGGAATGAACAATACACGTGGATCAGAGGAAACTTCACAATAGTCACAACGGACTATCAAAGAGTGATTTTCTCATTGATTCGGTTTCAGTATTTCCATAGCCATAACGTTTTACTGTATTCTTGTACAAATGCTGCCCTGTCTGCAGGTCATGTTCTTGGACTGTTTGATCTGCCTAGAACCTAATAGTTAATGCGGCCTTGTGTTTTTCTCGTACTGCTATAATGATGATTGGTTTATGAAATGTTTGCATGTCATGCTAAACATGAGTGAAATTTTCCCGGAATCCTGCTTGTTAACTGTTTTGTTATAAGATGCTTGATGCCATATCCTCAATTTGCATGGTTCACCATAGAACTTCAAATACTAATGAATAATTAAAAACTTTAAATGCAGGTTCTTTCCGGCATAAGTTCTTTAGGTTCCTGCTTCCATTCTGGTCCAGTGCACTTCCAACTCTACCTGTGACAGCGCCTCCACGCAAAGACAGAAGTAACCCAGATGATGTTCCAGAAGGGCGCTTACGGCACCAAAGATCATCCAGGATGGACATCAGAAAAATCTTATTTGCCATGGCAATCATGTATTTTCTCTAGCTTTCATCTTTTTTCCAACTTTATCTGATCAGTATATTGAAAGGTATAAATATGCATATTAACTTAATTTTGCTTCATGCAATTGGTTTGTCCTTCTTTGATCACATAGATCGGCCAGAAATTTGATATAACCTGCAGTGAGTTATTTTGAAATCGGGTTTAATAAAATCTAGAGAAAATTTCAAACATGTGAACCCCCCAAACACCAAAATTTACTAGTTAAACATGAAAAAAAATCCTACCTTTTAAAAAAAATTATTACTCCTTTTAAATACCGTTGAACTTGATCTACATATTCTAAAACCCCAACACACCAAATTTGGGGTGAACCCGTCGTAGTTTGACCATTCATCCACTCGTATTAATTTTAACGGTTTCGAATGAATAGAACTTTTCTCATGGTTCGACGGAGGGTCAAACGACGACGGGTTCACCCCAAACTTGGTGTGTTGGGGTTTTAGAATATGTAGATCAAGTTCAACAGAGCGGATCATCCACAATGTAGCTCAATCATGTGATTTATATATATATATATAGAGAGAGCAAAACTTGTGTCCACTTAAGTGGACATCCACTAAACTTTTTAACCCTTAGATGTTTCCTAGGGATCCTTGCATGATATGAAGTGACTTTTTATATGTTAAATGAGTGGATATAAAGTTTGGTGGACACACTATTCACTATCCACCTAAGTTGACACAAGTTCTACTCTATAATATGATGTATATTTTATATTATATATAATTTATATATTAGATATTATATATATATATATATATATATACCTCTCCCACCCCCTCTATTCGATAATAAATCTATTTTTGTGTTAATGTGTCTAGTTTTTATTTTTTTATTTTTATTTTTTCGTTTGAATCCTGTCTACCTTTCATATCTCTATATCTCTGTCCACGTTTTCATATCAATATTTCTTCCTGGACCTGTATATATTTATATAATATAGCCACTTTTACTATGAGACTGTCTATATTTCAAATGTTTATATGCTTGATGATATCATTTAGTTTAAAATAGAGGGTGTATAATGAAAAGCTTATTCTGGTGAGCTGTGTTTATGCGCAGGGCATGTTTGGCAACAATGGGCATACTGTATTACCGATTGGCCCAAACTCTTGGTGATGACGCAGCACAAGATGAGCCTTAATGAGTAAGCTGTCGATTCCTTTTCATTAATCTGACCTTCATATGATGTTGTTTGTACTTTATACATCATTTGTATGCTTAATTTATTTCAGGCAGGTGACTATTAATTTGTGCTTTGTTCGGAAAGCTCAAACCATCAAATTGTAGCTAGAAAGGTTGCTCTTACCTTATGTTTCATCCAAGAAGCACTGAGAATAACGTTTGTTTCAACGGTGATCTTCTCACGGAATGCATTGCTATACACATGGCCCTCTTGTGTTAAAAAATCGAGTCATTAAAATTCTTTTGGAATCAATACAGGGATTACAGAGTGCTTCGAGGTGGTTGATTTTTTATTTTTATTTTTTTCTTCCATAAGGATTGCTGTGTTAGAGATGTAAAGTTTGGTGCTATTCACTTAAAATACTTCTTCAAACAGAAGCCGTGTACATTGTTTCGTTCTGCTGATGCGAGATGCATCTAGATTTCTTACTGAGGACAATTAAGAGATTTATATTCTGAAGTTATGTTTTGCTTGATTACTATAAGATGTAGCTGTTACTAAGTATGCATGAAAACGTGTTGTACTGGTTATACATGCTTCATATTATGCGATTAGAGCTATATACCCCTGAACTTTGACGGTGCTCAGTTTGGTAACAAAAATTGATCTTCATGACTGAATTTAAAGCTTCATGTTAGATTGCAAAATTATAGTTCTCTAATTTCATCATAATTTCAAAAATTTTATAACGGTAAACGGCCGAGTGACAGCATGCGTGTATTTTCATTTTCTAGGAAAAATGCAGTCTGAGAAAGAGCAGGATACAAGAAAATGGTTACATGAACATAGGTTGACGCTGAGAGATGTTCTCTTTTAGGATCATAATTAGGGTTGGGCGTGGGCCAGGTCGACCCACGGGCTGACCCAGCGCAGCCTGCCATGGGTCACGATCTGGCTCGGCCCGGCCCAGCCTATGATATATCCGGATCACGGGCCGGGTTGGGTCCAGTCCTAGACCTGGGATCAGAAAAATAGGTCCAACCCATGCCCGACCTGCCTCGGACCGACCCACCCCGACCCATGATATATTTTTTTGGTTGAGCTAGTTATTCTTTTAATATTTGAGTTTGCAACTAGCTATCATTTTAACTCTTTGGGTCTGAAACTAACTGCCAACAAAGTCAAAAAGGTCATAGGTATTTGGCTCATGGGCTTTTTGACCCACTGAGAAATAAAGCAACTGTATTTAAGCTCGCTGCTGTCTACCCGATAGATTAAAAAGTTCAATACTAGTTTAAAAATAGTTTAATACAAGTTTAAATTACTAAAAAATAAATAGAAATAATTTTATAATTGTGAATACAAATTTAATATAATTAAAAAGGTAAAATTTAGGAAAAAATTTGGATGAAAAATTTATGGGTCGACCCATGACTCACGGGCCGCAGGTCGAGTCAGACTCGACCCGCACATGGGCAGATTGTGGGCCGACTTGGGTCCAATCTCAGAGATCCGGGATCAAATGAATAGATTCGCCTCACTCTGACCCAACCAGGCTCAGCCCGGCCTTGAACCCGTTGGGCTAGGTCACGAGCCTGAACCGGCCCAGCCCTGCCCACCCTTAATCATAATGTGCATGAAGAAATTGAAAACTGGAAAAATCCATCATAATTGGTGCCATCATCGACATAGACTACTACCTTACTGCTCCACATCAAGACCCACGGTAGATCGTACGACCTCGGGCATCTAAACAATAGTTCAGACTAACTACGCGACAAAATTATTGCCCGATAAGACGAACGAACAAATGAATTGAGATCATGAAGTCTCTCAATTCTATATTGAATGTTGTGCTTATCAAGGGCCATGGTTACCTGTTAACTGGAGGCATGCTGATATTACACAAGCGTGAATATGGGAGATGATCATGTCATGTTTCTGGTTGATTGTCTGTTGAGTATTGATTTTATGGCAGTTTGGGCTTTATCCATCGATATAAATTCGGAAAAAAGATTAATTATTATGAACATAGAAAAAAAAATTATTTTACAGATGTCAAAGTGCAGGATGATTATATGATATAAATTCCGGTACACGTCTGCATTCATGTCAACATAAAAGCAGAATACTAGAATGATGATGAAACTGCAACTTGTTAAGCTCTTGCTTATAAGAAAAATCGGTTCCAAGTCCCTATTAATAATTTCTTGTTTCTTCTTTTTTCCTTTTCTTCCAACTTGTTGCTATTTTAGTTGGCCCAACATCTGGCCCATTTGCTAACAGGCCCAGTTCCCATTCTTTTATTCCCTTGCCCTAACCCATCTCTGATCTCTTGGTCCCCAAAGTCGGTTGCCCCTCCCCCTTTATGAAAACACAGAAGTAGTTGATCTCTAAGTGAGAAGAAAAACCATAGCTTTGTGCTCTGGAGCTTTGTGCAATCCTCTCCCTCTTCTTCGTGCCTATTCCGTCCATCGCTTTGTGCGATCCCCCTTTCCTCTTTGTGAGTGATTTAAGGACTCTTCTTCGTGCCTATTCCGTCCATCGCTTTGTGCGATCCCCCTTTCCTCTTTGTGAGTGATTTAAGGAGAAGATCAGCGAGCTTCCCCTTGTGTCTGTGCGATCCCCCTTTCCTCTTTGTGAGTGATTTAAGGAGAAGATCAGCGAGCTTCCCCTTGTGTCCTTAGTGGTGCATAGGAGAGAAGAAACATGGACTGGTTGAGCAGGCTTCTGAGCCAAACAGTGACGATCAAGATCCTTTACAGTGGTATCAGAGCTCGGTGAGTCGTCGCCCTTCCAACATTGTCGGTCGCCGCCGCTGGACTTCGTTGAGTCGTCGCCGCAGGACCGCCGTAGGAACGCCACCGTACCGTCGTGTGGGTAAGGTCAAAACTCTCTACAGTGGGTTTTGCTCAGGTAATCTCTGGCTTTGATTACGGTTTAGCTCTGACTTTGTTGAAGATTACAGTTAATCTCTAGTTTTGTTGATATTAACACTATATGCTCTGGTTTTATTTCGGGTGAAGAAATTAAAGCCCTTTGTGCTCGACAGCAGAACATCAAAGCTGTGTTTAACTGTTTGTGCTATGCGTTTAATTGTTGGCTTTATTTTTGGGTGACTGGTTTGTTTATTTTCACTGCGTTTAACTGCTGAAGTTAAAATTTGTTTGTGCTCGTGTGAAAGAACAAAGGGTTTGAACCCGAGCTTCGTGCTCATCGTTATTCTCATTTTGTTCGTGCTAGTTGCTTCGCACGTTTCGAGCCTGATAAATTTAAAAAAAAATTCAGCTATATTTGCATTTTATATTTTCTGTTATTGTTTGTGCTCGTGCGAAAGAACAAAGAGATTGAAACAAGAACTTTGTGTTCATCGTTCTTCTTATTTGGTCGTGCTAGTTGCTTCACACGTTTCGAGCCGGATAATTACCAAAATCAGAATGTTTACTTCTAATCCATATGGTACGGTTCCGTTCAACGGAAAATCTAATTTTAGCATTTGGAAACAAAAAATAAAATGTATTTTAATTCAACAGAAGTTTTTTAGGGCTGTTGGTCAGACTTATTTAACTTCTGACACTAAAGAAAAAAGGGCTGAAATGAGCGAAAATGCATGTTCCACAATTTATTTGAACTTATCTGACTCTGTACTTAGAAAATTTGGAATTTTAGAATCTGCTAAAATCCTTTGAGATAAACTTGAAGAACTCTATACTGAAACCTCTTTGCCAAGTAAAATGTTTTTGCTTGAAATTTTTTTCAAATTTAGATTGATATGTCTAAGGATATTGCGGAGAACCTAGATGTTTTCACAAAACTTATTTCAGATATTAAGTTAACTGGTGATAAACATATAGAGGACTATACTCCTATTGCCCTTCTAAATGTTATTTCTGACTCATATAGTGATGTGAAATCTGCTATTAAATATGGTAGAGATGAGGTTACCCTTAACATAGTGGTCAATGATCTTAAGAGTAAGGAATTAGATTTAAAACATTCTGGGTGAAATAAAAATTATGGTGCGGTTATGCATGTGAGGGGTGTGCCTCAGAATAGGTCTAATAACCAAAAGAATGCTAGTAATAGGGAATCAAGTAGGAAAAAAATCGAAAATGGAAGGGGTAGATCTAAGTCCAGGTTTAAAGTTAAAAAATGCTATAATTGTCATGAAACTGGACTTTATTAAAGATTATCCTAAGCCTAAGAAAAATCAGCAAAATGATCATGCTAATATGGCTGTCTGTTAGGGCAAAATGGGTGAAATTTTCATGATTAATAATCTTTGTGATTATGCATATTTGAACTCTGTGTTATATGATTCTTTGTGTAAATCAGATTGGTTAGTAGACTCCGGTTGTACTTTTCATATGACTCCTTTTTAAAAACTTGTTTTCAAACTATAAGAAAATAGAGAATGGCTTTGTGTCAATGGAAAATGAAAAGAAATGCAATGTTTTAGGAACTGGTGATGTATGTTTTAGGTTTTTTTTGGTTCTGTGTTTACTTTGAAGGATGTTATGCATGTTCCTAATTTACGTTATAACTTGATTTCTTGTGCATCTCTAGAAAATGATGGTTTAGAGGGAAAATGGGGTAAATGGGTTATAAAAATTCTGAGAGGGTCTCTTGTTGTTTTTACTGCTGAAAAACAAAATAATTTGTATGTTTGTCATAATGCTGAACCTGTGCTTGATTCTATTAACTATGTGATAGGTGATAAATCTGTTTTATGGCATAATAGATTAGGTCACATGAGTAATAAATGATTAGAAATTTTACATAAAGGAGGTCACTTTGTGTGCTAGGAAAACAACATAGGGTTAGTTTTCCTATTTCTTCTTTTCCTAATCAGTCTAAGTGCACTAATGTACTTGAATATTTGCATGTTGATGTGTGGGGTCCCTCTAGTGTGCCTACGCATGGAGGGAACCAATATTTTCTTTTCATAATTGATGATTATTCTAGGAAAGTTTGAGTTTTACTCATGAAACAAAAATCTGAATTTTTTGATAAATTTAAAAACTGAAAAATTATGATTGAAAACCAAACGTGAAAGAAAATTAAAACTCTTAGGACAGACAATGATCTTGAGTTTTGTAACAAACAATTGAATGATTTGTGTACTACTTAGGGTATTAAAAGGCTACACACCACAGCAGAATAAGGTTGCTGAAAAGATGAATAGAACTCTCTTAGAGAGGGTGAGGGCTATGTTGGCCACATCTAGGCTCTCTAAGAAGTTCTGGGGAGAAGTTATTTGTACTGCGACCTATTTAATTAATAGGTCTCCTTCTGTTCCTTTAGGAGGGAAATGCTCTGAATTTGTGTTCACAGGCAAACCTCTTGATTTAAATAATTTGAGAATTTTTGAGAGTGCTGGTTATGTGCATCAAAAGATTGATAAGTTAGAACCTATAAGTTAGAACCTAGATCTAAGAAATGTGTTTTCTTAGAATATCCTGAAGGGGTAAAAGGTTATAGGCTTTTGGAATAAGAGTGAACCGGGGTTTAAGGTAGTGATAAGTAGAGGTGTTGTTT